ATATATAAAATATGTATATGATATATATGCAGTCACACACACATAAAGCAGCTCATTAATGTTTTGCTTGCTCCTCATAGAGAGTGGTAGTTCAGTCCTGAATATTAAATGTGTTTGGGCTGGCAGGTTGCAAGAGAGTTTTCTTCAAGAGATGCTACAAAGCAGCTAATGTTAATTACAGTTTCAGAGTAAGACAGAATTAGGGATATGTAATTTCATGATGTAACTGCATCTGCATTATTCAATTTCATATATGTCTGATGTCAATGGTGTTCTTTCTCATTTCCAGGCCAGTTAAGCCAGTTTCTTTGAATATGAACATGTCTATGCCATCATGGTAAGTGTTTGTTCAATTGTAGATGATTCTAATCAAAATATATCTAGGTCTTAATTAAATATTGTGGACAGCCTTAATGTCTAGTTTTATTCACATGCAAATATAAAAAGCTTTTTGCTTTAGTCCTCTTCTTATAAAAGGGCTCTTATGATTACGTTCTAATTACTCTTGTGTGTCTGTGTTAATGGTTATTCCCCAGGACTAATCTGTATGTCTTAAAATACAAACCCCATTTTATTTTACAGGTATAGTCATTGTGTATGAATTGATAATCAGTAGTAGTACAGACTCAGAGTGGAAATGTTATTGCTACTAGTGAGTAAATTTGGTGGGTCAGTAGGATATGTAGAAACTGTTCTTTAGAACTTCCATTCTGAATAGAGAACAGGAAAACTAGATTTCAGTGGTCTTAAACCAGTCTTTAGTTTTGTTGGGTTTTGGGCTTTTGTTTTTTTCTCAATTAAGTTGTGTTTGTTCTTCAAACCATATTTTAATTTGTACAGTTATTGCTACTAGTGAGTAAATTTGGTGGGTCAGTAGGATATGTAGAAACTGTTCTTTAGAACTTCCATTCTGAATAGAGAACAGGAAAACTAGATTTCAGTGGTCTTAAACCAGTCTTTAGTTTTGTTGGGTTTTGGGCTTTTGTTTTTTTCTCAATTAAGTTGTGTTTGTTCTTCAAACCATATTTTAATTTGTACATTGATAAATTG